ATCCCTACAGTCAACATAAGCTTTGTCTTAAAATAAGCAAAAAACATCTTGAGCTACTTTGTTGGCAGCATATATGTAGAATTAGCCGTCGATACTCGATCTTCACTGAGCAATCATGTCAGCGATCAAATAAACGTATACGGCATTTTGGATCGCTCATACACCTGAAAGACTAGATCAATTTGAATGGTACACGACTGCCCCCCATAACCATGCCTTCATGCTATATATTGGAACCAACCTTTTATCTAGGATACCGGCACACTCATACACACCCACCCTTCCAGTCCTTAAAGCTTTGCTAAACAAATCTGTATAATGTCCTGGTCTACCTTTACTTGTGATGCTAATTGCCGACGCAAACACACACGACGATACCCGTGTGACTCAAATATGACGCAAATGCGACGATATAGGATGAGTCATGTGGGGTGTCCGACTCTGGAACGTAGTGCAAAATATAAGAACTACCGGAAAACGTTACGGGCTGCCCGAATACAAAATTTGCTATGGTCTAAATCCCAAATTATATTCTTAACGAGTGCACAAAACAACTGTGGTGTACTGTAACGTTTAAAGACCTCTGATTAAGTAAAGCATGCCGGCCCATAGCGTACTGAAAACGGTCGAGTTCTTATGTTTTGTTCCAACACCACCGTCACTGCCCACCCGCCCTACTCGCCGGACTTTGACTGTGACTTTTTCGTCTTCTCCAAGATCAAGCTCACGTCGAAGGATCCGGTGTGACACCACGGTCAGCTCATGTAAACGGCCCATTCAAAAACTCAAAATGTGATGGGTGGAAGACCTTCCTGCCGTGAACACATCCATATGTTTCAATGCCTAGGGAATACGGTAGTTCAGCACGTCTTTAATTCGCATCTGTGTATCGGTACATCGACTCAGGTATATCGAACGTGGCTCATCGATTGCAGTACCCTACATTGTATTCGAATACGTAAATATGTTTTTGTTTGCAAGGCAACAGCCAAAGATGGAAAATTTTGAACTCACGTAAGTTAGGAACATCACAGTAATTCACGTAGTCACTTCTGTTCACACAATCACAATCGTAATCACAAGCATTTGCAAGGAACATCATGCATGTAAAAAGTAGCGTTTTTAACCTTGCTCCTCGTAGAACAGTCAGGACAATGGCGAGATAGATAGGTTGATATTTCGACTACACGCTTTTATCGAAACGAATATCAGTCTCGTGTTCGTTTCGATTAAAGCACGTAGCCGAAATATCGACGCATCCATCTCTCCATTCTCCAGGATCTTCTACGATAGATATGGCCATTAGCACTGCCTTATCAATTTCGAGCTTTGTTGACCCATGGGTCACAACGTTTATGACCTCTATACTCCATACTTTCTCCTCCGGTAAATCAACTGAGTCGAATGGTGTGCCTTTTGGTTATATGGGAAGTTAAGAAAAAAGTTATTTCTGTCCAGCGGCTCAAAAACGGAACATGCTACCTTTGATGACTGATCCCTAGGTACCACATACGTAATGACCTATACCCTCCACGCTCGTAAGCCTCCAGTATACCGACCAGAGCGCGGCACTGGTCTACATTTTATGGTGATCAAGGTTAATGAAAGTAGGTGTTTTCAGTCGCCCCGGCACATCAACGTGGGCAATTCTTATTCTGATTGTTCACTCGTGTGTCACGAGACAAATGGCTCACATGTTTCATACTTGCTCGTCTCCTGTAAATCGCGTATGCCGCGTCATCGTAATCAGACTGAAGGGCTGTGTTTGATTGGACGTATCAACATCCAAAAATGCCAAATTTTGACAAGTCTTCCTCGCACCTTCGCCTCTTGTAAATTCGCTACGGCGTGTCGATATGTGCACATTGCATTGTGTCCAGGGAAAATATAATTTTTAGACGGCGTGGCAGCGGCCGAAGACTTAAATGTGACCTTTGCTAGGCCTTAGGCCATGATATTCATCATCAACAAGTTCCATACTTGTTTGTCTCCGGCAAGTCGGCAACGTGTGTTAAGGTTCACGAAGCAGGGAGGAATGCGTATGAGCTCGCTTGTGCCAAATTTTGAGATAGGTCATCAGGTCACGGGCCTGGTAGATCAGGTCACAATACCCTCTGACCGTTGGGCCAAATAAAGGCAAACTTCACATCGGTATTCGGAGTGACTCCAGAGCTCCTCATCCAACCGCCTTAACCCTAGAGACCTGTTTTAAGCAAAAGAACACTGTTGATCATTTCGGGTCAGTGACCTTATTCGAATTTAGACGGTCATGATGACCAAAAATCTATTAAGAACCTAAAGATCCTATAAGCCTAAACCAAGCTATTTATATTTTTAAGACATGAGTATCAATAAATACTTTAGACGGCGTGTTAAAAAACCGTGAATGAATGTGTTAGACGTAATGTTCCCAAAGAACGGTTGATATAGGTTATTTTAGGTCAGAGACCTCCTCTGTCCTGCAAGAAGCTCATATAAAATGTCTGTTGACGTCCCTTTGATTAAGAAATTCGAGAGGAGCATAAATCTGCCACTTAAAGCTCGTTCTCCATTGACAAAGGAGTTCAGATTTGACATCGGTATGTATAGTTGGGCGTGGCTACGCCGCGCCAAAAGTTGGTCGTTAATGTAGCTGGAGTCCCATAGAAAGGTGCGTTTGTCGTATATACACCTACCTAGGATAGAACGGCTACACCGCACCGGTCAAAAATTATTCTGGAAAACCTTCGGGGAGGGTTAGACTGATTCACGACCCGAGTGCGTGTTAATAGTAAGTTGGTGTGTGGTGATCCTATTAAAAGCACACGTATGCTTACACCGCGCTCGCAGTAAATTCATGCTCAACGTTGTTTCACAATGTATTTTTATGTATCTAATGTAAGCCGTTTGCTTTCAACCTAAATCCCATAAGAGTATTGCTCGACGTGACACGTTGATGCCATGACAAAATATGAAGTCTGAAAATTCTCTACGGTGACAAATTAAGCCAAAAATTGTATACATCCCTCGCATGTACAGAATATCGTAATTTGAATAAAGCGGCACTGTTTTGCTGCGGAAGGGGGCACCGCAACTAAGGACAATACCAAAATTGGAGTAGTTTGTGTAATTGGGTCGGGTGGCTTGACCCCCAAACCTGGTTGCTGGATCCGTTAAACCAGCAGTGAGCGGGCTCCTCAGCGGCACACCATTGACCGGAGGGGGCAGATTTGAACCCCCCCACCTTTCTCAAGAACGACACGGCCAAATTCAAAATTCATACAGTAATAGGTAGCACCGCGGTGTGCGGTCTGAAACCACACACCGCGTTCCGTTTTGCTGTACCAAACAACAACAAAAGCTTAAGTCTAGGTGTGTGTTCAGATTAGAGATCAAGGTCAAATCTTAAAATATTTCTTTGAAATATCCGGTCTCCCCCACAACGCATTTCACTTATAAGCGTACCTCACGGCGTGAAATCGTTACGCCCTGATCAAAGATGCTACGTAGGAAGGTATCTAATGACAGGCGCGCCTTACCATGTTAGAGCCAAGGTCACATGCCGCCCAAATGAGAGCTAAAACCGTCGTCTACGTCTTTTTTGGCCTATTTATTGTCGTCATATTTGAACAATCTAAGCGCGAATTATGGCTATCAGGCACGTGAGCAAGAGCTGTTGTCGAAAATCGGTAAACATGACGCCACTTTGACGTCACTTACGCTTAATTTGTTATGGCCCCCTTCCAGTTATAACTGCACATGGCGTAGAACTCATCAATTAACAGCCACTGAAACATCCGCAGCGATACCTCAAGGTGTTTCTGAAGTATCACGAATATTGCACAGGGAGGGGATGGGGGTGGGGGTGGTGGATAGATTTGACCCTCCCCTGGTCAATGGCGGGTTAATTCAGCCGGAAATTTACCTCTTGATTGAAACATTCGTTTCTCGCATGTAGCTGTGCACCTATCAATACTAGACCCCTCCTTCTCCTCGTCATAAAAAGTCGTGGCTGCTCTCACAAGATAAAAGTCGTAAAAGCAGCTGAACGGATGAGCGATGCAATAAACCTTACAAAACTAGGTTACACCACAAGATACGCATGGGTTTGCGAGGTTTAGCGGAAAACTCTGAAGTACAGGGATGACCTAAAGTCCTTCATGGCTAACCCTATCCCCACACACCACAACCAACATGCGTGCTGCCTCTCATGGCCGCTATAGAAGAGCGCCTTCGGCGCCCCAAGGTGACCTCCAAAGGAGCGCCTTCACTTGCCGATCAGAAGGGGCACGTGTGTCCATTGTCTGCTCGCTGGATCTACCTCTGCGTGACTAGCATGCTACTTAAATTAAAGACCTAAATTTGACCAAAATTAGAGGCATATATTGCCGTACAGCCAAATAAAGAGGGCTAAATCCAGTAAGACAGAATGAAGGGTAGGTTGTCGGCCCCTCGATTCAGCCCCCAATAATTTCCCAAAATGAACACCCCTGCCCAGGAGTGCGAGACGTGGCATGTGACACTCGATGCTGATCGGACCGAGACCAGCATCACATCCCGTTCCTCAAGTCGTCCCACTGCGAGGACCTGATGACGCTGCATCCATCTCTGTAGCCTCGGCATGCTGAAATGTCTGGAGGCTGGGAAGCAGAGAGGCGGGCCCGTAATCATTGGCCAGCAGTTGACCGAGTGACCCTATGCATAAGATGTCAGAACGTGACAGCGTACGAAGCATGCCTTTGGCCCTATCGAGTAGGAGCCAGCATCTACTGAAACAGTAAACGGGTCGCCTTGGAACACACAACACGAGGACTTGATCCAAATCTAAGTGCTAATGTTGACATATCCGTTACTGATTACAGCTTGCAACAGACGCTCGATCCGCCGCCTCCCAGCGTACCGAAATGCCTGCCATGGTGAAGATTCTGTTCGGATGCTATGATACAAGATGTGGCACGGGAGACCAGATGATGCTTCCCCGTTCCCGTGTCGAATTCGTTTTTCGGCAGGCAGACTCCACGTGACGTTTCGTGCGGTGTATTGCCACTCATGAGTGTCCCGGTTGGCAGGAGTGACGCGTATGGAATGTCGTCGCTGGCCATGTTAGCATGGGAACATCTCTTTTACATTCACCATGATAATAGAACAATGTCCACCTATTTGTGAGGCCGTTTCCAGCGCGAGAAGTCACACCGCCGGCGCCGCTCAGACCACCCTGTTGCGGATGGTGCCGATGCCTTCAATCTCACACTCGACGACATCACCGCGCTGCAGGAACTGCGGCGGCTTCATGAACACGCCGACGCCGGGCGGCGTGCCTGTCAAGATGACGTCGCCGGGTAGCAGGGTCAGGCACTGCGAGATGTGCGCCACCACCTGATGACAGTCGAACACCAGCTGGCGCGTGGTGCTGTTCTGGCGCGTGGCGCCGTTGACGCGGCAGGCGAGCGCCAGAGCGTGAGGCTCGAGCGCGTCGGCCGTCACCAGGCTCGGCCCCAGCGGGCAGAACGTGTCCATGGCCTTGCCGAGCAGCCACTGGCCGCCGTTGCGGTGCAGCTGCCAGTCCCGCGCCGAGACGTCGTGCGCCACCGTGTAGCCGAAGATGTAGTCGGCGGCCTGCTCCCGGCTGACGGCCCGGCAGCGCTGCCCCATCACCACGGCCAGCTCCACCTCCCAGTCCAGCTGGCTCGTCGCCGACGGCAGCACGATGTCGTCCGCCGGGCCGACGATGCAGCTCGGAAACTTGTTGAACACCACCGGCTCGGTGGGCACCGGCTGGTTTTGCTCGGCGCAAAGGTCCACGTAATTCATGCAGATGCAAAGCACCTTGTCGGGCCGCGTCACAGGCGCGCGCAGCTGGACCTCGGCCAGCGGCACCGTTGGTGCTGAGCTCTCAGCGGCGCGTAGCAGCTCTCGCACATGCGCCGGCGTCCCCAGCTCCAGCAGCTGCACGGTGCTGGTCGGCAGCGTCTCCTCAGAGAGCAGCTTTACTGCCTTGTCGCCGTCCGTCAGCAGCCCCAGCCGACTCCGCGCTTGGTAAGTGCACTGCACCAGCTTCATGGCTCCTGCTGTCGTGTCCGCGTCCCTGACTTCCTCGTGCGGTGAGATTTCCTCGCCCTGCGCCACGGAGCAGTCGCCCCCTGCTGCCTCGGAGACCAGAGACCTGCGAGTGAGCGCGTCGCTAGGGGGCCGTCTGGCCCGGCCTGGCGCGGTCCTCAGTTCAAGGCCACAGAGCCGCCGATGGCTCGCCCGATAAACAGACTGCCAGCCCCTCCCGCTCGCAGGCGCGTTGATATTCCACGCAGTGTAGGCCAACAGAGGTGTCCTGCGATGGGAGGGTCCGTCCTGCGGTGGGTTTGCTCACGGCGACAGCGAGCTACATGTTCCTCCACGCGACGGAGTAACCTTGTCTGTGCTGGGCTGTCGCTCTGTACAGCGGCCCGTCGAATGTCAAGCTGTGGGACAACACACAGAACCATCGCGGCTGGTTTGTCCGCGAATCGCCGTCGGTCCGATCGCTCGAGACTCTGACCAGACCAGAGGATCGGCCATCGCTGCTGACAATAGTGTAGCTGAACTGTCTTCGGCTGCCTGTCTGGAGCCCAAGTTTTTGCGGTGCGAGTACCCCCATGTCACGGCATGCTCTAAACACGTGGTGCTACGCAGAATGTGCCACGAGTGTCACGACATGATTCTGGGATATCCCGTGATGCTGTTCCCCTGATTTTGGAGGGAGGATACGGACACCAGTAGCGCAATTCGCATGTGGCGTTTTGTACCGAGCCCGTGCCATCAGCCACGATGCATCTCGGGACCGGCTCTGTGGTAAACACACATAACTCAGACGGCAGTGGGTCTGGCTCTGGCGCTGTCGCGAATGACGACGTGACTTTACGGCCCAAGTACTCCCCCCGGCTTGTGCCACGACGGCATGGCGAATGCAAATAACCATACGCACCGGCGATATGGCTACGGCTCCGTTTTCAGTTTCGTTGTCGTTTGTAACTGTTTTGTAACAAACGGCCGGACACTAATTGGCTGGACCCGACACATTGCTGGACAGGAAAAGTGAGCAACTTACTGCGATTGCTCCCTCCGCATGGTAACTAAGCATTTATTTTCCTATTTGCAGTGTGCTCGATGCAGTTCATGCGGTCGTATATCACCCAGATACATTTCAAGCAAGCAATCTGTTATATCATCACATTAACTCACCAGCAAGGGACCAACAGCACTGCTTGTTAGTCATCTGCCTCAAAATGGTACAAACATAGCTTCAGCGAGCTTCATGGTCAACACTTTACAAAGAACGGCAATGCAGACATACTAACTACATCGGCGAGCTCTTGTGGTATCAGCAGCCACTCCAGGCAAGGTCGACACAAGTCGTGTGGGCTCCCAGCCAGACTATCAGGCGGGCGCCGCGCCGTGATCACAAACACCACTGATCGAGCCCGCTCAAGTCTCAGTGGAACCGCACAGTGGCGACATCTCGCGAGGTGACCCGCAGTCACGTGACGTCGCCGGCTGCCGCCGCCGGACGCTGCGTGGCGTCACGTGGTCAGGTCAGCTCCTGGACGTAGGTGGCGGGGAAGATGCCGACGGTGCCGTTCAACTCTCCCAGCCACCAGCCGTCCTCCTGCTTGTCGTGCATGTTGATGACGTCACCTGGGCACAGCGGACGAGGTCAGCCCCAGCGCGACGGGGTCCGGGGCAACAGAACCGCAGCAGGCAATAACATGAGTTGGACTGTTGGACATGCCTAACCATTTCGTCCGATAGTGATACATTACACTTTAGCTCCAGCTGTAATCTCGTAAGGCAGGCGTTCGGTCGTTTTCGCACGCGAATGATTGAAGGCTTTGGATCAGACGACGACTCGTGCAACTGATCTGGACAGCATCGTCGCAGTCATTCGCGTCGATAGAGGCGGGAAACAAAAGCACAACCGGCAGTGCTCCCGCTTTATTTCCGAAGTCCGTTACTCCTTCCCTCAGCAAGCCATAAACAGAAACAACGGAACAACTGCCCCGCCAGGGTTGTCGATGAGATGGACACCAGCTGGGACACTGCTGCAGTCGCCAGCGGCGGGTGCCGTCAGCACACCCACCGGCCTTGATGGTGAGCTCGTCGTTCATGTTGGCCTTGTAGTCGTAGAGCACCTTGCAGCGCCCGATGGACGGCGCCAGCTCCACAGGTGAGGGAGACGCCGTCAGCTGCTCACTGGACGAATCAGCTGGCGGCGGTGATGACGTCAGCGGGAGCTTCGTCGGCGGTGATTGGTCACCGTGGCTGCTGAATTCGTCTGTTGGGCAAGGGCAACGGATGTTATGGTTGTTGCGCCTTGTGTTGGTCACCTCAAACGAACTCTAGGCCTCCAGCGTTTTTGGCGAAAAGCTGTTGTTTTACACGGCGAAACAGCCAGGTGATGAATGGTTAAAAAAGGCCGGTTTTCTATAGTATCTACAACTGGGGAAATCCCCAAAACTACCTCCGAGACCTTAACCAAAAATGACGATCAAATAGGGGGCTATTCAGCAAGACCTATGCAGCTACAGATGTCGCTGCCACCTGCTGCTGCATCACAAAGGCATCACTCTGGTATGGCGTGCGTACCGAAGTCTGACTCGTGCTGGTTGGAGGTGCCATCCGCCTTGCCCCGGTCGCCTTGCCGCACCCAGTTCGGCACCTGACCGCCAGAGATGCCGCGCGAGCTGTTACCGACACCAGAAGTCCAGCCGTGTATAGTTAGCATACCACGTAACGCGTACATAGTACTGTGGCCGTTCCAGCCACACAACGTAGCCCTAGAAACAGTCGACGGCTATCGGCGACTCCATTTGGCTTGCTGGCAATTTTCCATGCGACTCACACCACCCGTAACCAGCGCCGCCGCACCACGGCCAGGCGTACTAACCTTGAGTGCGCTCTGTGTCATGCCCTGACGGTCCTTGTGGTGCTGGATGTGTTTGCTGAGCGGGTGCTGAGGCCGCGTCTGGCCTTCCACCTCTGCCAGCGCCACCTGGATCTTGTACCGACTCGCCTCCAGGTAGGCCAGCATAGCGCGCATCTGAGGGCGGCACAGACGCGGCTCCGCTGAGAATCAGGCGACCGAGAACGACGGTAAAGACCCGGCGACGCTGGGGACCAGGCGACCGAGAACGACGGCACAGACGCGGCTCCGCTGAGAATCAGGCCACCGAGAACGACGGCACAGACGCGGCTCCGCTGAGGACCGGGCGACCGAGAACGACGGCACAGACGCGGCTCCGATGAGAATCAGGCGACCGAGAACGACAGCACAGACACGGCTCCGCTGGGGGCCAGGCGTCCGAGAACGACGCACAGACGCGGCTCCGCTGAGAATCAGGCGAGCGAGAACGACGAGCGTCCTTGTGGCATCAGTCTCAGGCCGGTGCGCACGGCAATGTGGCCTCAGCCATGACACAAATGTGTAAACCGTACGACAGCAAGCTTAAAAGCGCAGCTCAAATGTCCTAGCATCTACTGTTTGACGGGCTGACTTTTGGACGCCATTGATGACTACCAGCGCTGTAAATAATCACTTTAGGCTTTTATGTCAATTATCTCGGTGTTGCTACTTCACAAGATGCATTATGACCTGTACCCACGCTCACTTGTATAAATCTAACGGGCACGATCGCGAACCCGACGTGGGAGTTTATGGCTCATAACTGTGACAGTTGCATGGGTCTGAAACGATCAGCAACTATGTATTCAGTATGACACGGGCGGGAAAACGACATAATTTGACTCACGTGCTGCAGTTTTTCGTGAACGTCTTTCTAGGAGCCTTCGTTGCCGAAGTGAGGAGCCTCCTGCATTGCCTTCGCCAGATTTTCCACGCCATCTCTACCTTGTCTCTCCCGCCCCACGTCCTGACTAATCAGCTGAAGGAACTACTAAAGAGCCTGCGGTGAATGGTGTCAAACATCACCAGCTGACTCACATCATCACTTCTTCTGCAAACTTCTGCAGTCGTAGTTTTTCCCAAGAATTGAAAGATGGGAAAGCAGCCAAACCAAGAGGTAAACACGTTTTAGAAGAGCAAATATGGCCTGTCAACCAGTTCTATGAAAATAATGTAACCAATACCATCACACCCGGGAACTCTCATTGACGGCTCTGTGAACAGTTGCAAAAAGCAAAACGCTCATGCCCTGTCCCAGGCGCGCAGCGAGGATTGTCTTCAGGCGGGCTCGGAGTTCGGCGAGTGCGCGTCACGCCGATTTTGAACTTCCTGTCGAGTGCCCTACACGGTGACGAACGAAAAATCCGGGCCTAAGCGGCAGACCCAGACTTTAAAAATGCTTGGCCGCGTGCTCATGCCATTTCCAGGAAGTTTACAGATTGAAGCTTTCATGCTGCAAGGGAGAAGTGCATCGCCGCGTGTAGAAGAAAAAGTTACCATTTAAGAGTGCACGATCGCTCGCATTTAAGTGACCTCATTGTGTAGACCTATCTGTTATGACTGTGTACCGTTTAGGGAGCCCACACACCCATATGAAAGCCCACATGAAATTAAAAGGTCTTACAAAAATCTATCATGCTTCCATTTCACAGACATTTACGCGCGCCTCGGATGCACAACAACAATTTAGCACGCTCGGGTGGCAGGTTGAAAACGACGCGCTCCATGGAGGAAGGGGCCAGTTTGATAACTGAGTTAAAAAGAAGAGCAAGAAATACTAAATTCACGAAGCAGGGAGGAATGCGTATGGGCTCGCTTGTGCCAAATTTTGAGATAGGTCATCAGGTCACAGGCCTGGTAGATCAGGTCACAATACCCTCTGACCGTTGGGGCAAATAAAGTCAAACTCCAGATCGGTATTCGGAGTGACTCCAGAACTCCTCATCCAACCGCCTTAACCCTAGAGACCTGTTTTAAGCAAAAGAACACTGTTGATCATTTCGGGTCAGTGACCTTATTCGAATTTAGACGGTCATCATGACCAAAATTCTATTAAGAACCTAAAGATCCTATAAGCCTAAACCAAGCTATTTATATTTTTAAGACATGAGTATCAATAAATACGTTAGACGGTGTGTTAAAAAACCGTGAATGAATGTGTTAGACGTTATGCTCCCAAAGAACGGTTGATATAGGTTGTTTTAGGTAGAGACCTCCTATGTCCTG